CCATTTCCCCCTCACCGAATGCTGCTGGGCAGAGCCTGAGCTGCTCTGGAGAGCTCTGTCTCCACTGAGCTCCTGCTAGATGGTGAAGCAGAGCCCAAACCAGATTGTGGGCGAGCAGAGGGCTGGCTGCTCAGCATGGGGACAGACCCCGCGGTGTGACAGCAATCACGCCTGACTCATCCCTGGCTACTCCGCACCAGCTCTTCCACGAGATCACCCTTAACGCACCATCGCCCTGCAAGGACGTTATAGTTACAGAGACCAAAGGTGCCCCTGCTTCACGACCCCCCAGATGGGAGCTGGAGTGACAGTGCCAGCACACAGGAAGTCTCTCCTGTGAACAGCTGCTGTTTTACATGTACAGTCATACTCGTACGAGAGGCAGAGATACTGAAAGTGAGCAGTGCTTTATGCCTGGTGCATGACTGATGGGAGTGCCCATCCTGTGCCCACTCTGCTTTATGGAGGCACGTCATTTACCCTCTTCAGTAAAAATAGAGGAGGAGGAAATAAAAATCTCAGCATGTCCCCAAAGAATTGTAGGAGATTAAAATTAAATCTATCCATTATACTCACCAAGCAGGGTGCTGTCTGGGCAGGAACACTGTAGTAGTACACCTGCATGTTCAAAGAAAAGAAATTGAGTATTAGAGAAGTGTCAGAGGCAATCCAGCACCCTACAGCAAAGTGCTTCAGGTCATAAAACAAACTCACACAGCTTGGAAAAACAAAAAAGGAATAACACTAAGCTGAACAGCAACACTGCTCAGCACAGCTGCAGCACCTCTTCTCAACCCTGCATCAAAGGTTTTCTTCACCCTCGGTTAAAATTTTGTCTGACACTTCTGCTCAGGCCCAGGTTTCAAGAATGCTTCTGGGTTTGTTCTGGGATGTGCGTGTTGTGTGCTGTGGGGGAGAAACACCTTTCCTACTCCCTTCACTGTGTCCTGTAAGCCTCTCCCTGCATTCCTCCTGTTGTACTGTCCAGAAAGCACATTTAGTTCTCACTCACTACAGCTCTGCAAGGCAGGACAGTAAAAAGCAGCTCACCTGGAGGAGCAGGGGCCAGGCCAGCAGCAGAGGGCTGGGAACAGAGCCCCAGAGACAGGAACAGGCCTCCCTCACAGCTACTGACACTGCGGCAAGGCCGTGGCTCTGAGAGCGGCTGAGGGACACAGAACAGCCCACCCCCACCAGGATCTGGAGGTGCCTCCATTCCCCAGCCAGCCCTGCAGAGTTTCATCCCTCTCTCTTTGCTCTTGGCCACTCAGTGAGGCCAAGGGCGGGCAGGTACAGGAAGCTGCATGGTGGGCAGCCCTGGCAGCAGGGATGTGGCTCAGAGCCACTCCGGCCGTGAGGCACTGCTTGTTGCTCCAGCCAAATGCTGCCTCCCCCCTGCTACGAGGCTCCGCATGGATCCCACCCTAGGGCTTGGGAATTAAGTGGATTTTAAGCTCTGCAATAAAAACCCATTTGACTCGAAAGAATGTTATTATTCCTGAGAGGGAGTTTGCACTGCTTGCTTGGATCGCCTTAAAGTGAGCCGGTACGTGGGCAGACCAAGGAAATGCGCGTCGCCGTCTCCTGGGAGGCTCAAGGAGCGCCACGGCAGACAGCGCATCCCGGCACTGGGGTCAGCCCAAAGCAAGCCAGGAGTCCTGCTCAGCCTGCCTGCCCAGCACCAGCTGTTCCAAGAGCCCCAGCCCAGCATGGAAATGCTGCTCCCCGATCTCCTCAGGCTCTCTGCAGACACGGAGCCGCCTCGGCCCGCTCGGAGCCCCGCGGGCCGGGCAGGCCCTGCCCTGCCCCACACGCGTGAGGGCTCGCCGCGGGGCGGAGCTGGGCCAGTGGCACCGTCCCAGAGCTTGCTTTGCACCAGCCGCGCACATCCTTGTCCCTGCAGCAGCTGGAAATTAGAAAAGCTCTTAGTGAAACCAGCTGGAAGTTGTTTCTCAGAGCCAGCGCAGGCCCAAGTGCAGAGGCCACAGCCTGCGGGCCTGGGCGGGCTCGCCGTGTCCCCACAGGGCTGCGGGCAGAGCTGGGAGCTTTCTGTGCCGCAGGGAAACTGCCGAGCCTGCAGCTGCCTCGGGAGGAACCGCAGCATCGGCAAGAAAGCGTTTTTCTGCCATTCCCATCTGCATTGAAGCAGCGTCAGACAAGGTTTAAGGCTGCAAAAACCAGTAGGAGAAACCAAAATAAATAAAGATCTGGATTTTCCCATAGGAAATTTACCTAGATCCTATTTATAGTCCATTTGCCCTCCTCCTTATGTAACTTCTCTGCAGGAGAGGAGCAGAAAACACAGAAAATAAACAATTTGCTGCAAAGAATTGGTGCAAGAGCCTGAGTCACCTCTAGCAGTGTGAGCAGGTAACCTGAGGCTCACTGAACACACTGTGGAGAACAATGAATGCTGAAATCAAGTGTCATGCATGTAGAAACCGGCCCCACGTAACATGACTAAAGCACAGCACGTTGTGCTCGAGAAAGATGCACAAAACCTACACTTTTGAGTTTATTTTATTAGTCTTAATGGCCTGACTTCCACATGTCTCATTTCCTTTTATTGAAGCCGTCAGACGCATTACATTATCTCACATGCGTGCAAAACCAGCATTTCAGGCGAGCTCACATAGACTTGAAATGCCACAGCTGAAGAAAACAAGCCAGTGGGAAGTGCACAGGGAGGGGGCGGGAGCAGGGTCCAGAGCACACCTACAGGCAAAATCTCCCAAGGCTTCCCGAATAAGCCTAGCGCAGTCTCTCATCAGAGAGAAAGGATAGGTACTTCTCCGAGCTGGATGATTCACTGGAGAAGGGCGAGCAGTCCTGTTGCAACAGAAGGCTGATGAGTAATTGATGGCTCGTCCTAGGCACAAAGCCGAGTCTTTTACCCCGGTGCAGAAGCCGTCTGCCAAACCAGCTCTACCGACAGGCCCGGGGGGCAGCAGCACCTGCACTGCTACTGCAAAGGTTTGAAAGAAACAGCATTGCACTCGTATATTTTCACAGGAATTCCCCAGTGCTGCCCAGCTGTCCTCAGTTACTCATGCTCACTGCAGCTTTTCATCCTCATTAGCGCTCTGTGACAGGGAAACACATCCCAGCTACAAAGATGAAGAAACAGATCCAACCAGGTAGCCTGTGGGGATGCATTTTCTCTCTCTCTCTTGTGGGCATGCTGCTGGCAGCGATCCCCGTGCACAAAGTACCCCCCTCGGGTCCCTGCACATGGTGCCCAAGGCACTCACTCAACTCCCCAGCCATTCTGCTCCTCTCATTTCCAAGATGTGAAGGACAGTAGCAAAATTAACTACTAATGGCCAGCGACAGCCTTTTACAGCTGACCTGCCTTCACAGAGCTGGCATTTGGACAGCAGGAAATCATGATATTTTGGCATTAAAAAAGCCTGCACCACATTTTGTTTCCCCAGTCAGATTTCTTTTTAAGTGAGTTGCTCACATCCACATGTGTGTCATGCACAGCAGGTACAAATCACTGCTGGCCAGGGTGCCATCAAAAGGGAGGCTCACAGGGCATTATGTACACGTACTGTGGCAAAGTCTGACCTTTATTTCAATGCTGCATATCCTCAAATCCTGGGAAGCCCAGGGGAAGTACTCAGCTGCTCTGTAAATATCATAATTGTGGTACAAAAGCAGTTCACAATATACAATTTAAATAAGAAAACAGTCATTGTAGCTGAGCCCACAAATTTACAGGGCTACTTTTCACAGTAATTTTAGCAATAACAACATGGCTCAGCATCTCTATGCTATGCAGATGCACAGTGAGGAGCTGGTGCCCCAAAAACCTGGTGCACAGCCTTTCCCAGTGTCCCTGCACAGGGTCCTGAGGCACAAACCTGCACAGGGCTGCTCAGAGACAACATCTTGCTACACACACACACACACAAACACACACACACTCACTCACACGTGTGCACACAGAAAACCATCTGGCACACAGGCTAAATGCCACACCTCAGTGCCTACTGATGGCTGCAGGCACATGGCAGCTATTAGTGTGACACGAAAACATTCCCTAAATAACAGCTAGGAGCATGTCTATCCTCCCTGAGAAGCAATGAGTCTGTGTCACCAAGTCCCCAGTGCCAGGGCCATCTGCACTTGGGCAAACAGGGAGGCCTCCCCCTTCTAACAGGAAGATGAAATGAATCCCTGCTTGCATGGCAGTGCACAGGCTGCTCCTGCCCAGGATGGGACCACAGAGGAGGGAGGTGGAACCACTCTGATTACTAAACATGGACAGATCCCTGCAGACTCCCAAACAGGTGAGATAACTTCACACACTCACAGAGCAGTGCAGGAGCCACAGCTATAAATTATATTCTCCAGGGGTGGCAGGGAGCGGGAAGAGTAAGTTCACAGTGGAAAATTTCCTTTCTCTCTAAAGGAAGAGGCTGGAGTGATACAGAGCACTGCTGTTCGTGGCCCTGCTTCTGACAACCTTGGACAGCCCCAGAGGAACTCCCCACGTTCCATGAACGTCCCTCCACCTCCACAGAATGAAGAGCATTTCACTGACCTCAAATCTAGGGCTGGCAGAGTAGGGATGGGCATGGGGACAGGAGACACCACACACAGCCTTGCTGCTACTTCTCCTGCATGGAACAAACTCTCCCCTGCCTGCAGACTCTGCCAACTCTGCCCCTGCTGTGCTCCAGACACACCTTGCTTGCTGTGCATTTTACTCTCATCTGCTGCTGGAAGAAAGGCAAGACTCTAGCTTTACTTTGACTACACTAACTGAGGAAGCTGCTCAAAGTTCACCAGCATTGCTTGCTTTGCTCGCCTTTGCAATATTTTCTACAGCTTTTTGGCCACGTGGATGGCTTACTGGAAGTCCTCAGCCCCTATGTCCTTACACCAAGTCCCAGGAGGAAGGGATGTTGGAAACTGCCAAATGCGAGGTGCCAGCACTGACTGCCAGTTCAGCAGCTCTTTAAATACTGTTCTTGCAGACCTGTGGTTTCCTACTCCTGCTGGGAAAAAAAAACACTGCAGAACACATTGAGCCTGATGCACAGTGACATGGCTGGGCAGCCACCAGTTCAACCACTGCTTGTGAAATATGGTGAGGATTGTGCAAGGAGACAAGTGAAGGTGTCCCATGCTACTGCTTGCAGCAATACCTCTGCCTAGTGTAGGCAAAGCTTCACAAGTTCAACAGTAAATTCAATCTCATTTACAATTTTCTTTCAGTTTTTTCACTGGGAAGGGTCCTCCCCATTCACCAGCAGGCGTAGGGGAACAGAGGGTATTGGCTCCACTCTGCCACGGTGCCGTGGGCATGTCCTGGAGTCCCCTGTGTGTTGTACTCCGTGGAGAAGGCCGAGTAGCTCATTGCCCTGTACTGGCTGTGGGAAGGCACCACCCACTGCCCCAGGCCCTGCTCGGTGCCATAGGGACTGTACACGGGCGCCCGGGCCCCGGCTTTCCCCACAGAGTCCAGAGCCATGTTCACCACTCCTGTGTAGTCCTGGGGAGGAGGCAGAGGTGGGGGCAGTGGGGGCAGGTTGGTGAAGCCCTCTGGGAGTTGTTTGGAGTCGTGCTCGGGCACCATGGCGAGATCCAAGGCGTGGCACCTTGCCCGGAAATCGTTCAAGGTCGCGGTGTCACGGCTGGGAAGCTGCTGGTTGTCCCCAGCTTCGTGGAACCTGGGCCCAAGGGCAGAGAGAAGAACAAGTCACACCTACCACAGTGGAAAATTATGGAAAACCCACAAAAATCCCCTGGGGAAAAGCAGGGCAAGCTCTTCCCCTTGCCTACTGCTTCATCTTACTGTTACTGTGGATTTTAGCCCAAGCCTCACTGTCACACTCACAGAAAAATGAAATGCCAGAGAAGGTGAATCCAGACTAACATAGTTCAGGCTAAGTTCTAGTCTGGACTCAACCCAATTTTGCAATGAGGAAGGAAAAATGACTGAAGTCTTGTAACTCCTCCAACACTTACTCCAAAGGACAGGCAAGCTCTGTGGTACTCAGAGCTGGCTGGGAGACCAGTTTGGGACAGGAAAATAAAGAACATTACAAAGACATGAGCATGCCCATAACCACTGGGTTTGAATTAGAAGAGAAAGGCTATCCTTGGACCTATGACCATGCTAATCTATCATCTCTCAACCACATGTGCTCTCCAACAGAAAGGCATCCTCCCCCTATTCCCAGCTGGCTGTTTTCCTGAGGGAATACCCAGCAGAAGAAGAGGAATCCCACCAGCTGCAGTGTGGCTTTGGAGCAGCAGGCAGCACTCACCGGTATGTGTGGTAGGACGGCGTTGGCACCTGCTGCTCTCTGGCCAGAGCCTCTCTCTGCTCAGCAGGCACTGGCGAGGCCGCAGGGAAGGCCTGGCTGCTGCTCTGCTCCGAGCCCCAGAAGGGATAGCCACTGCTCACCACCACAGGGTTACTCTCTTCCTTCACGTCTACATTCTCATCCTTCTCAAAATCTGACTCAAAGCAGGGAAAAGAAAGAATGGGAAAGAATGAGAAAGGGGAAGAGGGAGGCAAAGCTCACAATGGTCTGTTGGCAGTTGCAATCATCACAGGATGGTGGAAGGAAACACACAGCCACCTCCTGCAGTCCTTCTGCCTTAAGGGAACAGCCCCTTCCAGCTCCTTTCTGCCCACATACTGTGGTGGTCAGCCCTGCCTGCCCTCTCTCCTTAGCTGTGCTACTGCACGCAGCACCATGAGCAGGAGCAAGGAATGATTTAGCTTAAAAAACTTTCTGAATATCATTCTCTGGGTTTGTTGTGATCAATATTACCACGTTCCTCAGCAGCAGGCTCCTTTTCCTCAGGCAGTTTCCTCTTCTGGCTCTTGGCTGGACTGGGCTTCTGGCATTTGGCTCGGCCTTCCCTGGAAAGAAACAAGATCAGGGGGGTAGCTTGGATGCAAGCTTTTTTCCTAGATATATAGGCAGGGATGCTATTAGGAGGAGAAAGAAAATCCATAACATTTTTAGAGTTTAAGTAAAAAAGAGTCAGTTTTGTCCTTTTTTCATCAGGATTTTTTTTTTCCAGGAGATTTTTTTCAGGCATAAAATAACACTAAATAAAATCTCAGATATATTTGTAACATTTTTTGCTTGGAAAAAAACCTCCATTTTTTTCCTTCTCTATTGCCACTCTGGGGGTGCAATTTAAGCTTTTTTTTCAACTCATCTAGTGGCTGCCCTCAGACCAAGCAGATCTCACTGGTATTGGATCCATCTTTCCTCTTGCAGAAAAAATCTCCCCCTGCAAGACACTTTTCCACCCACAGGAAAAGGAGACAAGGGAGCCTCCAAATGTCAGAATCAAGCTGATCTCCAAGAGACCAAATGGTCTGCTGTGGACTCCTGTTATCACTGCTATTCACATGTCAGACTCCAGTCTAGCTCCAACGTGCAAGGGAGTGCAGGTCTCAAATTTGTCACACCTCCCACATTTCTGTAGGAATTGTCACCTCCCACTCCCCAAGTCTCTTGAGAAGAGGCTGCACAGAGGGACATCACTCCTAGATACAGGGAAATGCAGTGTGCACAATGCAGCAGGCACAGCAGAGCTGGCTGGTAGGGTTTTGTTCAAAGACCTTGAGTAAAATTTACAAGTGAACTCCAGCTAGAAACAAATTAAAATGAAAAAACAGTTTACCTTCTAGTGTTCTTCCCATGTTCACGGAAACCTTTAGCAAATGGATTGTTGTCAATCTTGAGCTTTGTAATCTTTAAATGAAAGGAACAAGACTCAGCATCACAGTGACTGTTCCAAGACCTTCACCTTTATCACAAGATATTTATCACAAGAGATAAACTGTGTGAGGGTTTTGGACATGGCCTTGCCACAGTATTTGAGCTCTCCCAGCAGCTCCCATCATGGATCAGGAACTGACCCACAGAGAGAAGTGACCCTGCCAGGGTCAGCAGGGATTTGGGTGGGATTCATCTGACTAGAGAAATATACAGGGTGAGGATCTGTATCTGGACCTGCAGCCATGCTTTTTACTGCATTTGGAGCTCTGTGTCACTGACAGTGCACTCAGGACCATCAAGGTGCGTGACTCATCACAGAGGAAATGTTTTCCACAGGAACCACAATGTGCCTATTTCTTCCCACTCTTCACCACAGGTGCCCAGGATGAGCAGACAGGAAGGAGCCACCTTCCTCTACAGGAATTTCACAGCATGTCCAGAAGCAGAGCCTGCACACCATACCTGCTCGTTCTGGTAGGCAGTGACAGAGGTGAAGACAGTCTCAGGGAAGCTGAACACCTGGAAGATGCTCCAGCGGACGCTGAAGAGGTCATCGGCCTGCACGATGTGGAAGCGTGGCTTGTAACGGTGCATGGAGTGCAGGATGATCTGGGACACACAAAGGACAAGGTTGCCATGTGCCACCACTGCCAGCACACTGCAGATCCCCTGTGCAGACTCCCAGGACACCCATTTCCAAGCAGGGACTCCTGCTGGGACTGGTGTCTCCAGCAAGCCTCTGTAGTGACAGCACAGACCCGTGCCTTCCCTGGCAGGGAGCTAAGGGGGCACAAGGGCTGGGCTGAGGGAAGAAAAAAGGGCACTTGGATATGTTTTAACTTCTACATCACCTACTTTCTCACAAATCCTGCTTATTTCCCACAAAGTTCAACTGCAGTGAATTCCAAGAGAGCACAGCGCAACCTACATGCCCATGTTGATCCAGAGTGTTGTTAGTGAGCTTCAGTTTTTGGAAGGAAACAGGTTCTTTCATCCAGTGGCTGCCAGGAGCTGGGGAATCTGGGTGGACATAGGTGCGACAAGGGAGCTGTGGCTCCGCTTTTCCAGCAACTTCCCACTGATCTTTATTCCACTGTGAAGGGAAAGACAGAAATCTGGAGCTTAAAATAAAATGCTTGCAGTACAGAAAAGGCCCAGCAAGTTTGCTTCACTGTCCATTCAGTGCACTCCTCTAAAGCACAAGTAGCAGACTCTCTCTTATGAGCCATGATCATGTTACCAAATCAGCTCCAAGTTTAGGCCTCATTTTTTCTCCCTTTCTCCCTATGGCTGCCAGAAAAGTCTGACATTAATCATGATTAAAACTGTACTGCTTACAATGAAAATTAGTTACCTTTCCAGCTGCTCCCCAAGCAAAACTGACAAATAACTCCAGAGAGACATAAAATCCATCAATTACTTCTGAACTTTGTCCAAGGAGAATTTATTTATCAGTGTGACAAGTGAAGCATAAAGATTAATCTATTTCAAACAAAGATGAAAGGACAGCATAAATTCTATTATTTAAAGTACTTACCTTGTACCTGAAGTTATCCATTGGCACAAAATCTACCAGCATGAGGTACTTGGCATATGGGATTAAGCCAGAGACTTTGATTTTGCATTGAGGAAACATTCGTCTGAAGGAGAAATGAAAAACAGAGTGTAATGGTTTCTCTGTACAGTGGCTGTTAACGATCAAGCAGCATGTCACATTTACTCACTACTGTGCAAAGCCCTGTGAGCAGTATTTCTCCAGCCAGCCACGGACCATTTGTCCATCTCACTGATGGACTGTTTAGTCCTGTGGGGTTAGATGGGATAGATACTAACAGGGCAGCAGTCACTGAGGGCCTGACACTGTTTCAGCTTTTGTTCTTCCAATTCCTCTAACACATCAGTGGGAAACTTGAAAGGAACTATTTGGAGGTTGTACGTAGTTCCTGGCCTGCTGCAGCTCTCACAGCCCTGGAGGATGGATTAAATCTGAGCGTGGGCAGAAGACATGCTCTCATCTAAGAGCACACCCAGCTTTCTGTTCCCATACTCCCTGCCACTACTTTTAACTTCTGACTCTGCAAAAAAGCTTTGACAGCTACCTCCCTACCCAAAGGGATTATTCCAGCTCACAGCAGCTTTGACACAATACTTTACAGCTTCACAATTCCATCTTCTTTCACTGCAAGCTCCACAATACATGACTCATTTATACTTCAGAGGAGTCTGCACACACAGATCTTTAAGATTCTGGGCCATATTCTTGTCTGCAAACACAGACTCAAACCCAAACATTTACTGCTCAACTGCTGCTGCCTGTGACCCAGGCAAAGGGAGCCCAGGGCACTCCAGAGCAACCTCGAAGTGACAGGAAGAGCACCAGTGTTAAGTGGTGAGATAAGGGTACAGGAGTTTTCTCAGCACATCAGCCCCACAAGTAACCTTTTGCACTTCACAGTTTGGACTCCTATGACACCCTGAAAGTGCAATTCTTCTGCCAGAATCAGGAAGATCTGCATAAGTGGCTACAAAAGCAGTTTAAGGGCCACCATTCAAAAAATCATCACCTGGAGACTTTGCCAACAGCTCAGAGGGGTGTGGCGTGTGTGGTCAGCTGTCCTGTGCCCCTTACCTGCCAGATTTGGTGATGATCATCTCAGTTCCTATCTGGTGAAACTTCATCCAGAGCCCCATGTCCTCGAGGGTGACCACGATGGAGCTCTGTGGGAAGGGCTCCAGGCTGGGGGAAGGAAGGGCCTCACATGGCGCTTTCACGTCTGGAGGGAGAAATGAGACAGTGACTGCAGACAGACAGGAGGGGAACTGACCCTGGTCTGGGCAGTCTGTGCCACTACAAACCTCCTAAAAACTGTTCATTTTCTTCAAAGGATTTTTGTTACTTAGTAGGCTCAGAGGTAGGGAGCCTTTTCCAACAGGTTTGGTTTTAGCTGGTGGGGCCTTTTGTAAGATCTGTGTGTTATACCAACTCAACCTAAATTCCACTGTTACAAAACCCATGCTGGCAGGTAGCCACAATCCACTGTGCTGGTATGATCAGGGTTACACAAAACACTTTATCAAGAGAATACAGTGAAAGCTGAAAGGACTGGAAAGATTTTAAGTGCACCAGTGGCTAATAGGGGAAAATGACAAGTAGGTGGTAGCAGAGGTGAAAAATGCCCACAGAAGACAAAGATGAGATAGACAGGAGCCCTAAATGTAAGAGAAGGCAAGAAAAGGAGGTGACAGAGACAGACCAGGGACAAACTACATTCTGAAAAGAGACTGGCTGGTCTGAACTGGAAGTGGAGCTGGGGACCACTGAGGAGCCTGTGAGAGGGGTGGAAGGTGTATTTTCAGTAACACACCATGGCAGTGCTGCAATCTGCCTGCTTTTCCTCTTGGAGGCACAGGACCAACTGTGGGCCCAGGGAAGAGGAAAGGGAAAGCATTCTGGAGGAACTGCCTCTGGTGTTGATGGTACCAATCACCTCTGCACAGCTATTTGGATTAAAATCTTCCTTAAAGCCCCCAGCAGGTGCTCTCAGCAATACTGTAAGGCAGGCAAGATTGCTGCTGCCCTGCTGAAAAGCCCAGTTCCATTTTAGGTCAGAATGTGACCCAGTATAGTTCTGGTGGGCTGAGCTCAGAGCCAGCAGGGTTTAAGAACACTGCCCTGAGGAGGGGTGAGGAGCCTGCTCAGCAGGGCACCCACAGGAGCTGGGCTGTCCCCTCTGGGTGGTGCATTAGCAGCCAGGCACAGCTATTTGTTTAAAAGGTAGATTTTTCTGCCTCCCAGCCTGATCAGGTTTTATTCAGAGCATAGCAGAAAAAAGGGAAATTTTACCTTGTTACAGCTTTCCTGAGTAATGTCTTCAAAAGAGAATTCACAAAAAGTAGACAACTATTTTCAGAGAAATTAGCTTTTTTCACAAAGGGACATATTTCCACCAAAACAACCCAATACAACTCTAAGTGGTTCTTCCCTAAGGATTAAGAAGTATAAAACATTAAAATGTAATTTTGTCTGTTTGTAGAGGTCTTTAGGCATTTAAAAAATCCTCTACCCTTTTTTCTGCTTTGATCCAACATTAATGAACTGGCCAAGAAGTGACACCTAGTTTGCTCACCAAGATTAGCCTGTTAACATCTTCTTACGAAAGCTTCCCCCATATCCTCTTGCAAAGACATGAAAGCTGCCATGAGACATGCATTTGGTAGCTCAGTGCAGCACACGTATCAAAAGGAGTTACAATAAAATTGGGCTGATTTCCCACAGGAGCCATCCAGTCACAAATAAATGCAAACAGGTTTTGATTAGCTAGACAGATGCTCACTCCTTCCCCAAATGAATTTTCGAATTAACATTTCTTTAAGCAAATTCCAATGCCATTAAAAGAGACTACAAGAAGGCAGATCTCAGGAGTCTTTAGTGAGGGGAGATTTCCAATGAAGTCGAGAGGAATTGAAGTGAAAGGAGTTCAACACTGAATTAAAAATCAAAGGCAGATGTCATAATCTGGTTTTTACCACAATGAGTCCACAACGCACCTGTAGGAGCACAATGCTGCAGGAGACAGGGACAATAAATGCTGCAGCTGAGGTATGAAAATGCAGTTAATGCCTTTCACCCTGCAGGTTTGTGTGCACAGGCTGGGGCTGAAAAGCAGGACATGATCAGTCTGCATGAGGACTGGAGGCCAGCAATGGTGTGAGCTGGGCAATGGATCCACTCAGCTGCTGTCAGCTTCAGCAGGACCCTGCACTGATGGATCTGTTTGTAGGATTCTGTTTGCTAATTTTGTTTGGATTTTTGTTTCCCTCCTAGTTTGTGCCTGTGTAACTGATGGCAAGGCTCATGCACTCACCCTCCCACAAAGATGCCTGAGTGTTGGAACTACGGCACGGAGAGGTTTGGGCAGAGTGTCCAAGCACTGAGTGGAACTTGTGTGAGCTGTACTTCTATGGTTTCATCTTCTGTGCAACTTGGTTTTCAAACCATTATTATCAGAAAGAGATTTAAACCTTTTCCAGCAGTTCTAGTTTTACTTTTTAAAAAATATTCCTGTTATCATTGTGTTGGTAACACCATACATGGCCTGTTCAAAAACATGTTCTTTATGTCCACATGAAACTGAAAGGGAGGAAACTGCTATGGTAAAGGCACTGAAAATTAAGAAATCTTCAGTCTATTCTGTGCTTGATTTCAAGGTCCTTATAGCAATAGGAGTAGCTTGTGCTACAGTTTCTGTATCTAGAATGAGCTGTACATATCTTTTTGTCATCTTGGGGACAGAAAGGAAAGAAGGAGAAATGTGAGACAATTTAGTAGTTTTAGGAGGAAGATCTCTGGATAGAAGATGCTGGAGTACAATTGCCTCACCTAAAGCAGTTCCTCAATTCATCTTCCATTACTAAGACAATGTTAAAATATCTGAAAATTTTTTGCAGCCTTCCCAAAATGTGTAGGATAGGATTTGCAATACTGGGAAAACTCCAATAAGGGAAAAAGCTATGCTTATCTTGACTAAAATCAGTTATTATTACATTTGTTGCTATCTTCCAAGCGAAGCCCAACACTCCCAGCTATCCGGTCTCCACCAGGGAGGAACGCACATCAATATACAAAGCTTTCTAATAAATTCATCTTGCAAACAAGCAAAAAAACCCTCCCATGTTCTCTGATCTTCTCAATGTCAGCAGAAACACCCTGACCCTCTGGAGGGAGCCTCATTTCTCAGACCCAGAGAGTTTTTTGGCAATAACAAAAGTATAATATTTTACAAATGCAACAGCTTCATCTCAGATGCATCCAGTCATCACCTGGAACATTTCTGCTGTAGGGGGTCATACACCAGAAGCAACCCAGTAAGCAAATCAGCTGAATACTGCAATATTTGGAATCTTTAACATGAAAAAAACATAATACAGTCTACTGGGTTTTTTTTCATTGCTGCTCCTTTGTTTTTCAGTTTAAAATTCAAGTGGCAGAAATCAATATGGATCAGATCAACACAGCAGGGACTGAAAAAACCCAAAACAGCAGCAAAGGTGGAAATCATCTAAATCACTGCACGTGTATTTTGCCCATGAATGAGAGGAAGAGCAGAGGAAGAGCAAGGAAACTGAGACTGCACAGCACCTCTGATGTGCCTATAAACTGGGACACGTTTTTTTTCTGATGTAGAGTGAAACCACAGAGTAAATTTAGGGTTCAGTTGCACTGACAAATACAGCACCTCTGGGCTAGCCCTCAGTGTGCCAAGGCGTCTCTGTCCTTGTGCCCAATCCAATCATGCTCTACACAGGAGAGATTAACAGCTTGCTATGAGATGGGCTGAAGGAAAACATAATGAAACCCCAAGGAAATCACAGAAATCCTGTGCTGGGCGTGAACCTGGAAGGAGTTGGCTATGCCTGATTGGGGTTCACGATTTCAAAGAACATAGGAAATTGGAAAAAAAACCCAAAACCAGAGAGTTTGTATCAGAACCGTTATCAAAAAATATAACAAGTATTTACAAACTTTCTGTGGCCTTCCACCTGAAGAACTCAGTGCTTTGCAGACAATACACAAACAACACCTCCAGCCTTCAGCTGAAGGGTCACACCGCACAAGGCGGTGTGGGTAAGGGAATTTTGGGCACAATTGTGAGCAAACAATTGTTTACAAAAGAACTTCTAAGGCTCTCAAAAAACCACTCAAATGCACAATTTTTCATCTACTCCCATGAAAAAAACCCAGTTTTTAAATCCTCTCTAGCCCCATGCACTCTTCTAAAATGCTGGTAAGCCCTTCAGGAGCGCTTGCTCCCTTTCTGGCACGGGTCTAGGATCTTTCCGTGCAGTGACAAAGGGAAGGAGTCTTTCACTTACCTGGTAAAGCTTGCATTTTTCCATGTACTGTGACGTCGAGGAGCTTGCAGGGCCAAGAGAGCCACCAGAGTTCTTACAAGGGAAGTCCAGTTCAAAAGCAGGTCTGATTTCCTGAAGCAAGCACAAGCCCTTCCTTCCGAGATCCAGTGTCAAGAGTGAGCGGGATGAGGATGGGACTCCAAGCACAGCTAGCCAAGGTGAGTTCCTGTTTTATGGAGGCTAATGAGCAGGGAGGAGCTTCCCGCCAGGGTTGTCCCCTTGCGAGCCTTTGATGTCCAAAGGGACAAAGAGAGGAAGGATCTGCAGCAATGGCTGGGGCTAGGGGAAGAAAATCAAAGAGAATTAACATGGCTTTGACATACAGGAAACCCTACAGGGGAAATGCACCTTGATTTACTGCTAACGCACTTTTAAACAAATAGAGACAAGACTAAAAACATCAGTTGAGGACTTAGCTACAAAATAAAAACAAATCCCTTAGACGGCAAGCAGGGATTTCTCTTTGGCTATTCCATGGGTTTGTGATGATTCTCATCTTCAGTACACAGAATCATTTTACTCTTGATATCTGGTATCAGAATCAGGACGGCATCCAGCTCCTTCCTTCCCAAGTGGGTGATTAACAGTCTGTGTAAAGTTTGCTCTCCCAACTGCAGCAACACATCCCTTCACCCACTGATGCCTTCTCCAACAACATGAATGTGAATAATAATGAACACATTTGATGTCACTCATCTGCCCAGTTTCTGCACTCCCAGCCTTGAGCTGCACTTTCTTTCCGGGAGGATCAGGCACTGGGGTTATGCCTTGCTCAAGGCACTGCTCTTACCCAGGGAAGGCTGAGCAGAAATCGAAGGGCTTGAGCATTTTCCCTTAATTAGTTTATTCTGCAAGTGTGACCATTAGCTTTTGTGCTTATAAGTGCTTACAAGTGCTAAGAGACAGCAATCAAGGCTCAAGCTCCAGGGCCCAAGACAGCCACTGCACCTCCCGAGGACGGGGGTTCTGTGCACGCACACACAAATGGCTGTACTAACATTTACAGGACCAAAACGCTCAGAAAGTGGAGGTCAAAAGCAGAATATCAGTCTGAACAGGCCAGGGCTGGATATAGCACAGCAAATTTAGGAGCTCTGTTTATTACAAAGAACTTGCTACAAGGCTGCATCTCTTTCACTGTCTAGATTTATTCCAAATAAAATAAACGGTTTTTTCTATTTTATCAGTGGTGTTACTGGGACATTTGATCTTTAGTCTGACGTACAAAACAAATTTTGAATTTATTTAGTGAGCTTCTACACCCAAACAACAAGCCTTCAGTTCTGTTTTTACTGCCTTTTGGAGCAGGCAATGCAAGGACATGCAGAGAGGACAAAGGAACTTAATCAGAGCAGGGACTGACTCTCTTCCAGTAGTATATTGAATTTTAGGCACCCCAGGGAAAGAAAACCCATTGCTTAGTGTGGCAAGGAAGAATGTTTTAAAGAAAAGGGTTGGAGAACTGGGGAAGTCCTGAGGAGGATTTTATAGCAGGAGATGGTCCACGGGCTCCTGGCACCTCTGCAGAACCACATCCAGCCTTGCTGGCACTCCTTTTGAACCACTGGCTAACACAGGCTTTCCTCCCTCAGGTGACTTGGAGACATCCAGAGCTGTGGAGTCTCAGCATATTGAGGAGAGGAATAGCATGTGGTGGAGAAATGTCAACTTGTGGCTCAAATGGAAATTATTCATTAAATATGGGGAGAAATAAATCAGAAGGGAAAAGGTCAGCTGAAATGGTATCAGGGTCAGATCTCTGCTTGCACAGCCACTACCAGACACAAACAAAATAGGATGCAGAAACGCTTTTTTGCTCTGCTACAGAAGGAAAGCCAGCATTGCATCTGCTTCCCCCTCCATGTCCTGCTTTCCTAATGCTAGTATTTTAATTGTAGAAAGCGGAAAAAGACAACCATAATCAGAATCTGAAAATGAAAAATAGAACAAAAATTGGGTCAGATTCAAGCTAGCAGCGAGATGAATCAACATCCCACACAGTCAGAAACTGCACAACAGCAGCAGCAGCTCTGGGAATTTCAGACTTCACCTGACAGGAGCGTGGGATGTGTATCATGACTTACTGCTGCTTCCACAAAGGCTAGGAGATGGTCTCCTGCTGCCACTTCATTTGCACACTGTGTATCAGCATGTCTGGGGAACAGCACATTTGCTCCAAGTACTCAAATCCTTTTGGCTTCTCCCAGCTGATTGATGGGGAAGGTGGAGCCATTAATTACCCATGACTAGTTAACAATCAGCTTTCTCCCAGCCATTCTAGTTGCACTGGAAACGTTTTAAAAGTGAAAAAAAGTGAATTTGTTACTATTGCTGGAAATCGTGCCTAATAGGAGCAATCCCCAGGAAATTCATCCCTAGCATTCATCCCTAGCAAAGGGGGAATTTAGCACATTACCCTCATCTGTCCATCCATGGAGAGCCCTCAGGCAGTCTGATGGGAAGTCAGAGGTGACTGTGCTGGTGTCTAACAATCCACTGGCAAATTGGAGGCTGAGGGTATGGAAAGGGATGGGAGAGAGAGTGGATCTGACGTGTAAGGCAGTGACATGCAGGGCTCTGCTCTGAGCCCATTTCAGCAGCAGGGATGAATCCTGCTGAGCCCAGCTCTAACAGCAGGCTCTGCCCTATGCTGAAGGGATCAGCTAGGGCAGGAGGGAGGGCATGTGTGATGACAAAAGCACAGGCCAAGAGCTTTTGCTTTGCATCTCTTTGAGAAGCTGATTAGAAAGAAACATTCCCCTCTGGGTTTTGTAGTAAGGCAAATGTTTTCTGGCATTTCTCCCACCTTCAGTGAAGGTTTAACCCTTACTGCTCAGCAGGACCCTGCAGAGAGCTGGTTTGTGCACAAGCTCTCCAGCACAGTCATATCTTGCCATCTCTGGCTGCTGCCTGGGGCTCCTAGGCTGCTGGAGAACAGAAAAGGTGTCAGGCTTTGGCTAATGGGGCTGGAGTGGCACTGCCACCTCTGCCCAGGCAGAGTTCCCAGGGGAGCATTCTGCCCAGAGAGCAAGCTCCAGTGTGGGGCACCAAGTCACTGCCTGGGAGACAGCTGAAATGTAAAAGCCATCTTCCAAAAGAACCTGCCTTGGGTTATTGCTCGTGGGTGCAGTAGGCAGTACCAACCCTCAGGTTTCCCTCTGTGAGGAAGGGTTACCATGTCAGCTTTAACAAACTGGGCTAGAGCGAGATGCCTTGTCTGCCTGGACCTGCACAAGCAGGCAAGGACAACATGGAGCTGTGCAAGCTGCATCTAAGAGATCCTCCCCTCTGAAAGGCGAGGAAAGCCTTTCTGCCGTTTAAATGGGACTCATTTAGCCCATTCCCACCTGGCACACAGAGGCCACGGTCCCAGAGCATCTCAGCGACTCTTTGTGAAGGATCCTGTGCCATCTGCACGGAATGAGCACTGCAAAGTGAAAAGACAGCATGTCATCAACAGGGCCCAAAATAAAACAGATAGCTCTACGCTGATACCTACTTACTTTCATGCTTCATTAAAAACATGAAGTGGTCTCAGATTCTCCAGAATCCACAAAACTGGCTCCTTAAATCCAGGCTCAGCTCACTGTGAAGCAAATGCAGCCTGATTTATACACACGGGGCCATGGGGAAAAGCTGAGTTTTTCCAGAAAAAAAGCCTGATGAAACTCTTGCTCCTACAGCTGTGCCAGCATGTGACTCCCTGTCCCTGTTAGTGCCCGACACCTCACCCAGAAAATAGGAAATCCAAGTGCAGGGCTGGCCAGGACAGAGCTGCTGAGCTCCGGCAGCGCAGGCACAGCCTGAACTTGGGCAGCTTTCTGAGCAAGTCTCTGTGGGCGGCTGCAGGAATGGTAAAAGCCTGCAGAGTGTTTTGAAAGCCTCCAAGAAGTGGTACATATCTCCTATCATGCTGCAGCACAAGAAACAGTTCCAACCCAGCTCCTTACAGCAGCTCGCACAACACAGCATTTTCTTCTGATGCAGGGAAATAGCACTTTCCCCCTCCTTTTTATGGTTTTAATTAGCTTTTCTCAGGAAAAAAATTATCTGGTGTTTTCAGGTATATTACAAGTGTCATGCGGACCTTGCTACCCTGGGACCAATGCAAGGGACCCCACAGAAGGCAGAGCTCTGTAGGGCTGCAAACCCCACACTGAGCCCCAAATTGCACCACCCCCAGATTTTCCCCGTGCTCTCAAGAGTGCAAAAATGACATTTGGCAAAGCAGAGCAGCTGTTCGGAGAGGGCCTGTTGGTAACAGCTCCACGCTAATTCACCACAGGCTCCCGGGACCGAGAGCTGTGGGGACGGGTCACAGGCCACAGGGAGCTGTGACAGGATCTGCTCCGCAGGGGAACCTGGGAAAGCAGCTCAGGTAGGCAAAAAACGTGTACATTATAAACTGAAGAGAAGACTTTTCCTTTTGCAGTTTGTGGATTGAGGTTATCAGGCCGCAGAGCTGAAGAGGGCACTCCCCGGGCTGCCTCCCTCACAGCCCCAGGCCGCTGCCAGCGCTTCCTCGGCGCGGCACAAGAAGGGAAACACTTATCGGCCACTTAGCACTGCGGCCTGGGCTTGGCCTCAAAGGCTGCAGTCCAGAGTCAAATGCAAAATATGTCTGTCTAGAGCCCTTTCAAGTTCTCACAGAGCCCTCATGTCGGGTGCAGTGTTTTCCTGTCAGCCCATTGTGTGTCCCAGACAGAGCTCAGCGCTCTGTCCCGCTCAAATCCACAAAACGAACAGCCGAAAGGAGCTGCAGCACCAGGAGAGCTCAGCGGGCAGCTCAGCAAGGGCAACGGGCACACGGGGCAAGCACTGCCCTCCCGGCCCGGCATCCTTCCTTACACACCCGCACTGCCAGCCCGGCATCCTTCCTTGCACACCCGCACTCCCAGCCCGGCATCCTTCCTTGCACACCCGCACTGCCAGCCCCGCATCCTTCCCCCGCACCTGCCCTCCCAGCCCTGCCCCAGCTCCCTGCTCCCAGCCACAAGGAGCAGCCTGACAAAACAGGCAGCAAGTAACTCCGGCTTAACATCCATCTATAAATGCTTCTATATTTATACACGTGCACACACTCACATGCAAAGAGGAGCATC